ACATTTGAAGTTTTACATGAAAATAGTAGCTTTTTTTTTTTTTTTTTTCTCTCCTCCCTCCCCCAATCCTGGCCCTCATCAGCGTACTTCTGTCAACAGCAGAACTCTATTGGAGATCTTCATGTCATACAATTGCGCTCCCTGTCCTGCTCCAGGCTCTTGCTCTTTCTCGAGAATACAGTCTACAGTATTTGGCCTCTGAAACTGTCCTGAACTTGGCTTTCTCTCAGGTAGGTTTGAGTCCTGATTTCACAGGCTCCTAAATTTAAGCAGTAGATTCAGCTACCATTGTTACTGCTCTTTGGATTTTAAGCATTTTAATGTGGCAGGATTCAGTTGTTGATTTACGTCTAAAATCTTTCAGGAAAGTATATGAAAACTGTGTTTCATTTATCATGTCTTCAGTTTCAGCATGTTACACTCACATATTTCATGACTTGTTGCTGCCTTCCCTTCTATTGATAACCAATAAACTGATATAAAAACTTCACATAAGCACAAGGCACTGACACTAGAATTTAATACTAGTTAAAGGCTGTGCACTGGACAGATGGGGATTCTGGTTGCCGGTGTTTTGGAAGGAGTATTTAATAAGGAGCTTTCTTGTTCCTACTGTCATTCACTGTAGCATCTCCTTCTGTTTAATGAGCTTTGATTTTAAAAGAAGATTGTAGCTAAAAACCTTCTCTGCACTGATATACATCCATTGACTTATCTGAACATGAATGTGACATGCAAGTGGCTTGTGTTCCCTCCAGAAGAAGCTGCTATTTTCGGTGGACACCTGTTTCAGTGTTTTTCTCTTTCAGTTGATTCTTGGTATTCCTGAACAAGCTCTGAATATTCTGCATATGGCAATAGAGCCAATTTTGGCTCATGGGACAGTACTGGACAAAGGCTGTGCCATGTTCTTGGTGGCCAAATGTCAGGTTGCTTCTGCAACTTCCTATGCTCCCCAGAAGAAGGCAGAAGGTAGAGTGAAGAATAATTCTATTTATACCTTTTTCACTTTTGAATGGGCTGCAAACAAGTATAGGTATTTGGGTCTCAATAATTTCAAGACAATATTACTTGGTAGGATCAGGGCCTAGGTCTGGACTAAACATTTTGTAAATACTTAATCTTTTTTACAAGGTCAATAGAACCTTGCTTATCTGCACAATTTGCTCACACCTTGCAGCAAAACTTGAAAAGCGGGGGCTGTAGTTGAATGGAATTGTTGCTAAGAGACCATTATTTTTTTTCAAAAGAAATTATAGAACATCTTCTAGCATGTCTTGTACTTGCTAATTTAGAACATTCAGTAATTCATAATGGGATCCCCAAAAGCAGGGTTATATTGTATGTAGTTTCTACTTTACCACTGTTTTAAATACTGGATTTCCTCTCCCTTTTGACAGCTCTGGAATCAGCTATCCTGAATCTAAATGAAGCCAAGGTTTATTTTGTGAAAGTGGACTGCAGAGAACAGCTCAGAGATGTTCTTTATTTTCAGGCCAGACTCTTTCACACCTTGGGCAGGATGCAAGAAAGAAACAAATGTGCTATGCTCTTCCGTCAGCTGCACCAGGAACTGCCTGCTCATGGGGTCCCATTAATAAATGCTTTTAAGTGAGGCATTTAAAGCTGAGTTTTGTTGTGTTGTTCCTGACTGTTTTTTCCTCCCTTTTTCAAGCATTTTTATTATGTTCATTCATTGCGGTTTTGGAAATAATTGCCAATAAACTGTTCTTCTGCTTAACAAGCTTGTGTTCTGCTTATAATGAATGATGAAAAGTTTGCAACCATCTCACTTCTAGGCTTTAGACACAAAAGACGACATTTTTCTTTATTTACAAATACTGTACCTTCAGTGATACAAAGTAGCACTACTTGGTCAATAGTAAAGAATGTGGAAGGGGTGGTACAAAGTATTCCTGTTGTTACTAATAGGAGTTACACACTGAATGTAAGATTTATAAATGCAAACAGCATAAAGAAATTAGTGTATAATTTGTAGATATGAGCTCAGCTGCCTTGTGCTAATGTTAACTTCTCTGATTATGGAATTCCATTTAAAATATGTTCTTGTACTTGCATTTCACCTGTTTATGGGCACTTGTTAACACCTGGAAACTACTGGTATTGGCAGAAAGGAAAACATAGAAACCTATTGATGCTCCTAACCCTCTTGAATTTAGAAACATCCCTGTGTAAAGCATAGTGGGAAGAAGTAAAACATGGTAAAATTCATTTTGGTGCAAGAAAGGACCTGTATCAGTTTAAACAAATATTTTATTGCACACATGTTAATAAGCATCCTGCAGAGGCAGTGGGAGGGTGTGTGCACATGACTCGCTTATGTCTGACTAAACTAAGACAACCCCAACTTGGAGCCTGGTTCATTACCAGTGATCTATGGGAGTTGGGTCCTACCATTAACAACCTTTAAAATTAATCTTCTGTTGAACTACGTATATGTATAAGCTCAGTGTACATGCATGTGGCTTACCTGCAGTGCATGGCAGATGCACACTTGCATTGGAGGGAGAGGAGGCAGCATGATCTGGGGAATGGATTGTACTCCACTGCACTCGGTTTGGGAGACCTAGGTGTTATTCTTGGCTTTACAGATCAAAGTCATTTGATCTCCGTGCTTCTACCTAAGGATTCTGCTGCTGGAGGTTAAGAATTAACTATTGCTAATCACCACAAGTAAGACGAGAACTTGAACTCCTGGTTCTAGCAGTTACTCACATCTATAATACCATAAATCAAGACTTGCCAGCTTAATTCTGTGTAGTCTGGTTTTGCTGTACACATCACCTAAATGCATCTGCATTGCCCTGCAGATGCTGGCTGATAACCCAGTGTCTCAAACCTAAAACATCAGCTGTGTTTCAAACTGGGTATAAAGGGGATTGATTCCACACAGGAGCCTTTCCAGGATCTCTCTTCAATCAGTGCTTAGTCCACTGACCTCCTTCCACTTACACTAA